AGCCCAGCTTAAGAACGAGTAACTCTACACAATAAGCGCAGCTTAAGAACGAGTAAGTCTCTACACAATAAGCCCAGCTTAAGAACGAGTAAGTCTCTACACAATAAGCCCAGCTTAAGAACGAGTAAGTCTCTACACAATAAGCCCAGCTTAAGAACGAGTAAGTCTCTACACCATCCTACACTATACAACACTACACTATGCAACACTATACTATTATACACCATCCTACACCACAGTACACTATACTATTATACACCATCCTACACTATAGTACACTATTCTACACCATCCTACACTACACTATTATACACTATGGCACACTATTTCACGTTAAACTACACAATTCTACTGTAAACTATATCAAAGTTTACTCAACTGGTTTCAATGTATTATTTAAATTTTACCCTAATAATGTCCTCAGGTTTACAACAAGTGGTTGTTGATAAGCATAGCGATTTATTCACCAATACCATGTAGAGATTTTTTTTATTATCATCGTTGTGAAAACAGATCTTAACATTACCATTCTGAAAAATTAAACTTTTGAACTTTTATTCTGGAAAGAGGTTTTCACGACAAACATTATTGAAAAAGATCTTGCCATCTTCACATACCTTAAGTTATCAGCAATTATTGGCGTTTGTGTAAAGCCTTGCGAGATGGGTAAAACATGATTGAAATTGTAACTTTGGAGCATGTCGGATCACTTAAGACTAAAATTTGGAAACGTTTCGATTTCAATTCGTACTTCTATCAGTGAATATATACATACAACACTTTTGTAAAGCCTTGCGAGATGGGTAAAACATGATTGAAATTGTAACTTTGGAGCATGTCGGATCACTTAAAACTAAAATTTGGAAACGTTTCGATTTCAATTCGTACTTCTATCAGTGAATATATACATTACAACACTTTTGCATACCTGGGATTAAAATATGATTAGTTCAGTTTTGGATACATGTTATTACTGAAATAACTTTACAACAATTGGTTGTTATTGCTAACAAACATTTTGTAATTATTATATAACTTAATTAAAAAACAACAACAACATTCTAGATATACATGTTGACATGAATATTAATACTTTCTGTATGTAGAAAATCACTTGCTCTCAAGTTGCTCAGCGGCAAGTCTGAAGGCTTATAACACTCAGAACCGGGTATCGTCGATACCCGTGGTGGGCACAAGCACAGGTAGCTTATTTTTAGTTTTATGCTTAACAGCAGACAAACGCCAAGAAAGTCTGTAATAAGTAGCAACATTACAATTCCCCCAATTTGATTTCTGTGGTCGAAATCAAAATATTACTTGTACACACATATGACTCAGTTGTATGACGTTGTGGTAAAGCTTGTTTTTTGGGGGGTATTCGCGCCCAATATTATACAAGGGCTCTCTACGCTAGCCATATTTAATTTTAAGATTATAGGCTAGAGATAAGACAATTAACAGCACCAAATGTCAATACTTAGAATACTTTAATCAAATAGTGAGATTTGACTGTTACTCTTATAACGCAGACCCAAAATGTGAAGGGGTATTTTTCTGCAACAACAAGACGCGAACCATGGATCCAAGGATTCACAGTACAGTATGCTAACTACGAGGTCACGCCTGGTTTTGGGAGTAAAAAATACTAATCGTGATATGATATGATCTTCAGACAGTCTTGAATCATCAAGGATCAAATTTTAATATTTAAAGTACTGTTCTGTTTTGTTTTCGCATTTTTATGTAGTATTTGTTGTGTAGAGACTTGCTCGTTCTTAAGCTGGGCTTATTGTGTAGAGACTTACTCGTTCTTAAGCTGGGCTTATTGTGTAGTATAATAGTATAGTGTACTGTGGTGTATAATAGTATAGTGTACTGTAGTGTAGGATGGTGTATAATAGTATAGTGTACTGTAGTGTAGGATGGTGTATAATAGTATAGTGTACTGTAGTGTAGGATGGTGTATAATAGTATAGTGTACTGTAGTGTATAATAGTATAGTGTACTGTAGTGTATAATAGTGTAGTGTTGTATAGTGTAGGATGGTGTACTGTAGTGTAGGATGGTGTATAATAGTATAGTGTACTGTAGTGTATAATAGTATAGTGTACTGTAGTGTATAATAGTATAGTGTACTGTAGTGTAGGATGGTGTATAATAGTGTACTATAGTGTAGGATGGTGTACTGTAGTGTAGGATGGTGTACTGTAGTGTAGG